CCGGCCGCAAGCGATGAAGCTGTCAAGGAACCTCTCGTCACAGCAATGACCAAGAAGGCGCCGGCCAAGAAGGACGAGCCTCCAGCAAAGAAGACGACCAAGGCGACCAGCGACGACACGACGACGACGACCGCCAAGAAGCCTGCCAAGAAGCGCGACGAACCGACCAAAGCCAAGCCAGACACGAAGCGGCCGCTCGAGCTCGAGAAGGTCGCGCCGCGGAAGCGCAGCCGGTCCGACGACCGCGGCAGCAGCCACGATGCTTTCCGCCCGATTGCGCCCAAGCCCAAGCCGATCGTCGAAGTCTCGAGCGACTCGGACCACGACATTGAAGACGACGCGGCGACGTCGACCGACGACCCCAAGGTTGTGATGGTCAGCAGCCGGCGCAAGCCCGCCAAGTCGAAACCTCGCAGCATCGAGCCCGAAGACGAAGACGACTGCCACAATACAACGACGACGACGATGATGAGCAGTCCAGACGAACTGCTCAAGCCGTGCGCGAAGAAGGGCAAGGGATCGCTAATCTTGCTCTCCAAGCTCCTCAACTCGCCGCAATTCGCCGACAAGGAGCTGCCGACACAGTCACCGCCGCCCATCGTCGTCATGAAGAAGCCGCTGCCGTCGCTCTCGTCCGTGACGAGCCAGGAGAAGAACCAGAGCGCGTTCGACATCCTTCGCGTCGTCGCGAGCCAAACGATCACGACCACGCACCAGTCGCCTGCGAAAGCGATCCAGCACGTGCCCGCGCCGCCGGCCCCCGAAGTCACGCTAGAGTACGACATGCACTTCTGCCTCCGCGAAGAGATGTACGTCCAGGTGTGCGCGATGGAGGAGGCCGGGCTCCTCGTACGCGACGTGGCCGGCTTGCTGCGGTCATGGACGCACCCGACATCGGCCCGCTTTGAAGACGTCCGGTTTGTCTACCTTGTCAACAAGCACAACTCGCCCGCGATCCTCGCGCAGCGGCTGGCCGAAGTCACCAGGAATTATGGTTAATTTACAGCACTATAGCTAGACTACCAACTCGTAACATAATTAATATAGTCCATAAAACATAATAGTGCTTGCGCTAGAGCTAGCTCGGGACAAGGCTGTCCGTGGACGTCACGTACGACCGGCGTGACTGGCGCAGTTGCCGCGGTCGAGAGTGGACCCGATCAGATCGGGATCGCGCTTCAACCAGCTGCAGAAGACCAAGTCGTTGCGTTCTCACTCCCGCAGTACGTACGATTTCCCTCGAGTGTAACTAGTACTAGTAGAGTCCTGTCCAGCAAGCACTGCGTAAATATCCTTGGTCGTGTAGTTAGTTGCTTGCATCAACTAATAAAGCTGGCGGCTGTGCGTGTGTGTTGGTTGCACGGTATAATCGTCGACAGTGACACACTATCTCTGGCAATTCGGTGGGTTTATCCGGATTTGGATCCGGATAAGCATACAGTGACCAGCTGTGTGTGTAATCGTGTGTTTCGCAGGCGCCATACAAAGTGCAAGCTCGCAGTGGCGGGGATAAACCCGGCGCCAAATGGCGCATTTGGAATTGCCGGCATGAGTACACTGAGCACGGTGGCGGCCCTGACGCTCCCGGCGCCGACGGTCGACTGGTCCATCACGTGTCCCTTCGGCACGTACGCCTCGACGTTCTCGTTCGACGTGCCGTTCTGCCCTCCGTCGACCGCCTGTCTCGTCGACAGCAAGTGCCAGCGCACCAAGGTCTTCAACCGGTCGGTCGTTGAGATCGACGACCGCATCGAACTCATTGAGAACCTGCCCAACATGACGACCTTGTACATATAATCGCTTCCAGAAGCGCAGAGCAGCGCCTCACGCAGCAGGTGCGTAGGGTCTTCCGCGGCAACGGCCTCGTCCGGATCGGGATGCCGCTCTCGCAGTTGCCCACGCCCACGTCAGCGCCGACCTCGTTCAACATTACGTCGCTGTACCGCGTCGAGACCGCGCTCGTCTCCAACTTGTGCGTGCAAGCGTCTTTGATCGAGCTCATGTCGACGGCCTTTTTTCTAGGACGTTGATCGACAACCCGTGGATTGTGGGCGACGTCTATTTACCCTATGAGCTCACGACGCTGTACCAACATACATCCAAGCCAGCCAAAGCCTCATAGTAGCCCGTAGAAATATGATCAACGGGACGGCCAACCTCGACCAGTTCCGAGTCCGCGATTGGCCACCGCAGCTCAAGCACTTGTACGACACGGGCGATATGGTCGAGGCATGATTTCACGCTGGGCTAGGGCCATCGAGGGCGCCGGCGTCGTTACGTTCAGCAGCCTCACGCAGTCCTTTTACAACCGGTCGGGCTTTGTGACGCCTCTTGCGACCTTGTAAAACGGCAGACGAAGCTTCAATTCGGGCTCACGCATTTGCGGCTGTAGCTCCGGTCGCGACAACGCAGTTCGGCAGTTTGAAGACTTCCCCCCCGCCGAGATCCTGTACGTGAACGACTGCTGCAGGCTTGGCCTCATGTTAGCACGTAGCGATCTCTCAAACAACTGGATCAAACTCGTGCGCACGATCGCTTTTGAGAACGCCACGTCGCTGTGCGTGATCCGATTACCGTCATGTGCTTTGCGAATGCCTTTGGCGTAGGATCCTCGACAACAACCCGGTCGTGACCGTCTACAATGTCGGGTCGCCGCGCAACCAGTTTAGCTTGTACGACGTCGCTTCGAGCTTCCAGCGTCATGTTAACCGGTGATATCTGTCATGTCTAGTCGATGCGCCAACTGCAACATCTCAATCTTTCAAACCGACGCGGCGTCGCTCACGACGCTGCAAAACGCCAAAGCGCTCCCCAGTGCGACATCCCTCGCGGCCGACTGCGAAGCGCGCAACACGGTGCTCCAGACGCTGCCCAACTTTCTCTCGACGGGCATTTGCGTCGTGCCCAGCAGTACCTTCCCGAGTGCGTCCTCTTTCTTATTTTCTTATATTCTCATTTTTCGCATTTATCTAGACCAAGGCCAAATTGTGGTCGTGCCCGCGTGTTTTCCCAACGCAACGCAGGCACTGACGAGCACCAACTGCCTCTCCAAAGGTGCCGAATTCTGCCTCGTCGACGCGCAGTGCCGCGAGGTCGAACCCTTCTTTGGCCGTGACGAGACGATGGATTTCCAAGGCAAACCCACCTTTTCCCTGGCGATCCTCTCGTTCCCCAACATCCACTCGCTGTACGTGCTACATCATCGCACGTAGCATGTGTCTTATGGACAATATTGTCTAGCACGATCCGCAACGTCAACGTGTCATTCTTCAACGCGACAAGCGTCTCGACGCTCGAGAACCTCAAGCTCGTCAACATTACGTGGAGCAACCTCGCAACAAACGCACCGTCACTGCCCGCGCTCACGTCCTTGTACGTGCGCACTTGATGCTCATGTGTTGAGGAGTCTCTGTAGCGAGTGCGTCAACTGCGGCTGGGGCGCCATGAGCGACGCGTACCCGTGGCCTCCGTCCCTCAAGCGCCTGTACGTCGCGTGTGTATATAAACTGACGCGCGAACGTCATCACTTGGTCGTAGGTCGCTTCGAAGCAACAAACTCATGTCGTTTCGCGAAGACGCGACCGGCAACTGGCCCAAGAACCTTGACTTCTTGTACTATGCTCCATTCAACAAGACGCTCCAACTTGGAAGTAGGGATTTCTCCGACAACAGCATCGAGACGTTCGAGGGGATTCCGTCGTCGCGGGAGCTGTGCGTACATCGTCTCTCTTCCTGGACGTCTCATCTTGTGCGTCTAGGGTGATGTGCAACAACCGGATGCGGACTCTGGATTTGAAGGACTTTAACCACGCGCGTTTTTTGTATTCCCGACGATACTCGAGCCAATCGCACGCTGACGCCGGGTGTAGGGATTTCTCCAGCAACGCGCTGCGCAAGATCACACTCAACAGCATCGACAGCCACGACAACATCACCTTGTATGAAGACAATGATAGTCTCCTCGAGGCATGACATATTGTTGTCACTAGGATCCTTGAGGGCAAAGGCCTCGCGACGCTGACGGTGGACGACGCGACGTTCCGATCGCTGCAAGCGGGCAACGTCACCTTTGTCTCTCCGCAGGGCGCGTCCGTGTGCGAGATGGGCGAGCTCAAAACCGCTTCGTCGCGCCATGACAGCTTCAGCGCCTGTGTCGTCGGTAGGTCGATCGATTGCGTGTGGACAAGTTGTCTTATCATCGGAGCATAGGCAAGTCGTGGACGGCCGCGATGATCATTGGCGTGTGCCTCGGCAGCGCCTTTGTCATGGGCTGCATCGTGTACTTGGTCATGCGTGTGCGCCGGCACAAGCTGTCGCGGTCCATGATTGACAACAACTTTGCGGCCCTCGTCGAGCTCTCGTCGGATAAGGAGGAACAGCTCAAGTTCCTCAGCTCCATTGAAGCGTCCGTGACGGCGTCGCTCACGCCACACCGCCTCAACACGGACGTCAAGCTCCTCGACACGATCCTCGGGCGCGGGGCGTACGGCGAAGTGGTCCTCGGCGACTACAACGGCCGGCTCGTGGCCGTCAAAAGGCTTCGCGAAGACAATGCGACCATTAAGAACATCGAGACGTTCATCCAAGAGATCGAACTCATGTCCCGGTCCGTCTCTTCGCCACGACCCCACTACGGTCTTATGGAATATGGATGTAGCTTTGACAGCCCGTTCTTGGTGCAATTTGTGGGCGCTTCGTGGACGCACCTTGCCGACATGAAGTGCGTCGTCGAGTACATGGAGAAAGGCGACCTCCAAACGTACCTCGAAGCGACGGCCGAAGACAAGGAAGTGCTCTTTCCGTGGCACGACAAGATTCGAAGCGCGCGGGACATGACCCGGGGCCTCGTCTACCTCCACAACCAAAACGTACGCGATTTGTTTGCCTGTGGCACGGTGGAAAATACAAGAAAATGTAGGTGATTCACCGGGATTTGAAGTCACGCAACGTCATGCTCACCGCGGCGCTGGACGCCAAGCTGGGCGACTTTGGTATCGCGCGCGACGCCACCGACGAAAGCATGACCAACGCGGTCGGCACGTACCGCTGGACGGCGCCCGAGGTGCTCAAGGGCAAGCACTACGACACCAAAGCCGACATTTACTCGTTTGGGATGGTAGACCCTACGCCTATCGCGAATTTGGAGGCTCATTTTGTTTGGTGAACGATTAGATTCTAACGGAGCTCGATACGCACGCGGTGCCGTACGCTGACATGGTCAACGACCGGGGCCAGGCACTTGGCAACTTTACCATCATGTACAAGGTACGACGCCGCCCTGTCGACGCATGCAATAATTCATTGTCGTCGTAGGTCATGCAAGGCAAGATCAAGCCGACGCTCTCCGAGACGTGTCCCGACTGGTTGCGAGAGATGGCGCTCGAGTGCATGGCGTTTTCGCCCGACGATCGCCCGACGGCAGTCGACCTCGAAGCGCGGCTGGAAGCGCTCTTGATCGCAACCGAGCCAATGGTCACATCGCCAACCCACTAATTTAACATCCCCGCAACCAAGTAGCGTAAATGATCTCCATAGAATGTCTTTGTATCTGTGTGCTATCGTGTGGCATAGCCTTAAAGTTGACCGACACAACCAAGACTGGCATCCGTAAAACCGAAATTCGAAAAACTCATGAAGCGCAAAATTAGAGACCGGCGCGAGGAACGGCAGTCTCTTGTCAACCGTGTTCGAGCAACTTATGGCAAGGCGGTGTTTCGCACGACAGGGAATTTGCTTCGACGAGTTCGGGTTGGTTTCGAGGCTCGGGTGATGGACGAGCCAAATCATGAAGCGTGGGTCGCCACGAATGACGATGTTATGCCGCTCCATGCATCCAATGTAGAGTGATCTGGGGCAGCCTTTTCCCATCGACGGTTCACGATACATTGGTGCACCCGGTGTGATGCGCCGTAAAGCTCTTGGTGAGGGCTCCGAGCAAAACTTGTAGATCGACATGCTACATTAGGTGGTGTAGAAGAGAGTTGTGTTAGAGCCGTTCTTGATGTAGAACGCGGTGTGTCGATCAAGGACAATTCTACCATGTTAAGGCACTGTGCTGCAATCAGTATCGCGATGACATACTCACTCAACCGACAATTCGACAAAGTTGGAGGGGCTCGTCTCGCGGCTCGCACTGCCAACCGCAGTGACTCATACCGCAGCCCAGCGGTGGACCCGCCATATCACGAAGCGCGGATGGCCACAAAGCTCGCGCCGGCGGCGATGATCTCAAGTACAATACATACATGCACGCATTCCAGGGTATTGTTGGATCAAGGATTTCTGTCCTGTTACGACTGACTACTACTAAGCTGCTCCTCGTTCCTTGAGTTGACGCACTCTCTAAATACACCAAACAGAGGGCTCAGGCGACATGCATATCTCGTAGCTCCTTTTGGGATGCAGAACGGGACTGCACTTCTTCGGCACGAGAGACACCGACGAGCGCAACTCGTTGACGACGTACTTGGATGGCGCCTTGCTGTGCGGAATCACCGCGCGCTCAAAGTTGATGCCCGAGATAAGGCTCAAGCGCAGCCGCTCAGTGAGCTCACCGTTGCAGTAGCAGAGCAAGAAGCAGTCGGTGCCCCGGAGGTTGATCGTCGGACACAACTTCAGTCGCGGGTTCAAGTCCATCACGTGGTAGATGGTGCCACCGCACGCAGGCCGTCGCGGTGCAATGTGCAGGGTTTTGGCGGCTCGGAACAAAACAGCGCTCTTGATGCCATTGAAGCCAACAGAGCTACAGTCCTCTGCGAACGGCCGTGGTCGGCGCACGCACCCTATTGGCACGCACCATGATTAGTGACAACTCTTGCCTCGTCGATTGATACCCGCGGTCAAGCCGTACAACAGCGGAAAGCTCAGCGTCGTCAAGGTGTAGATGATGCAAACGAGAGCTGCTTCGCTCTCTTGGCTTTGGAGGGCTGTGGGCACGAGATAGTAAAAGAGGCGTCGGTACAGCCGAGCACAAGTCTCGATGTGTTTCAACATCAACACAAACGCGGGACAGTAGACGGTCACTGCGATTGCAAGAAGTGTCGGGTCGACGTCGGAAAAAGCATGTTGCTTCTTCCAGCGCTTCAGTAGGAAGGAAACCAGGCAGAGACCCCAATATGCAAACCAGACCTACAACCAAGAGTTCGTCATCACCATTCTGCAACTCGATATGGAACGTCGTACCGAGCGTGCGAGGTAAAGGACACCTTGCAGTACAAGACCCAAGTCGTCGCTGACCTGAATTTGCATCGTCGCGACGCCAAAGTTGGTGATGTTGACCCAAATATCCAGGTAGTAGAGGGACGCGACCCACGCATCCTTGAGCACGATGGCGGTCGGATCGCCCAGCACGATCTTGTACGACCAGTCGCCCGGTGGCATCTTCAGTCGGTGGCCGCACCGGCGAAGCCGCGCCTCGAGCGCCAAGCAGTGGCGGTAGTAGTGGGCGTAGAGCCGATACCACACAAAGAGCGTTGTCCCAATGCGATAGAAAAACAACCCATAGACAAAACCAAGTGGCCGCAGCTCCGCCTTGACAAAGTAGAGCGT